ATTTTCTTGCCACTCTACTAGATTAGGCCGTGTACTTTAATAGCACTAGGTTCTAATCTTTTTGATCCACATAATTCGGGAGTTTTCAGAGTTCCAGCTACGCCTTGTACCTGCACACAAGCGTGCATACTGACCGAACCGACCAACGCATTATTTTCTCTGTAGAATTATAGTGAGTACCACATATGTTTCTTTTTTCCTTTATAGTATACCATTCCCCACACCCCTACCACATATGTGGTACTCACTGTATTTCTACAGAGAAAGTAATGCGTTGGTCGGTTCGGTCAGTATGCACGCTTGTGTGCGGGTACAAGGCGTAGCTGGAACCCTGAAATCTCTCCAGCAACGCCTCCAGAACCAACAGGGACAGCACCAGCACCCTCAGCGGGAGCTCCAACTCCAGCAGCACCACCAGCTCCTGCAGCACCTCCAGCTGCTCCAGTAGCGCCAACTCCAGCACCCACAGGAGCACCGGCTCCAGCAGCACCTCCAGCTCCAGCACCCTCAGCAGCTCCAGCTCCAGCAGGACCACCAGAAGCCCCAGCAGCTCCAGCCCCGGTACCTCCAGCAGCACCTGCTCCAGCAGTACCGCCAGCTCCAGCACCTCCAGCAGCTCCAGCCCCAGCAGCACCACCAGGCCCAGCAGCTCCAGTACCTCCAGTACGAGCACCTCCGGGACTAGTGGCTCCAGAACCCCCAGCAGCTCCAACAGCAGCAGGACCTCCAGCGCCCGTCGCACCACCAGCTCCAGCAGCACGGCTCCAGCGGCGAGCAAACCACTCGCGCAGCTGCTATGGAGAGAGTGGCTCCCGCCGGGACAAAGCACCCAAAGGACCTCCAAGCGCAGCACCTCCAGACTCCACACGCGCAGGCTCAGCACCCTCAGGCTCCGCACCCCCAGACTCAGCAACCCCAGGCTCAGCACCCCCAGACTCAGCACCCCCAGGCTCCGCACGCTCAGGCTCAGCACCCCGAGACCCGGCACCCGCAGGCTCAGCACCCCTAGCAGCACCAGAGTCAACACCTACCTCGATAGGCTCGACTGCGTCTACCTGGGACACACCTGAGGGGGCAGGACCCTGAGGGGGGAGGGGGTCTACCGGGGGAGGACCTGGCGCGAGGAAGAGCGGCGGGGGGGGGAGGGGGGCAGAGCGTTAGGGGAAGAGACGGTAGTAAGGAACCGACTCGTCAAACGTGATGTCCTGAGAGGACAGAACACGGCGCGAGGTGGGGTGGTAAAACTGCCAACCAGGCGCGTCAGGGGGGAAGCCAAGGAAGACGCAGGGAACAGCACGGGAGGACAGCTTGTCCGCAGACAAGTCACGGACGAGAGCCCGAGATCCCCAGACACGGAACGCAGACGCATCGCCAACCTTCCCCGTCCACCGCAGAGTAGGTGTGGTCTCCGGCAAGGAGACACGAGGCTGAAGGTTGATCTGATGCGCAGCGTACTGAACTGCGAATGGCCACAGAAAATGGGGAGCAGCCGCATGGATCATGGACGTACAAGCGACGTCCATGACCATGCCAATGCGGCGCTCCGCAATCCCATTTTGTTGCGGAGAGGCCGGAAGCGTGAACGTCTGGCGGATGCCCTCCGCACGACAGAAGGCTCGCAGAAGGTCGGAGGAAACCTCTCCACCTCTGTCGGAGTGCAGACGCAAAACAGGAAGGTCCGAGCCGAAACTCTCGCTGAGCTGACGACGGGCAGCGCGGATCCAGTCGATCAGCACCTCAGTGGCCTCACCTTTGCGGCACAAGGGGAAGACTGTGGTGTAACGCGAGTAGTCATCAACGACCAGCAGAAAGTAGCGCTCGTGACCCTGGCCACGGACGCGGGCTGGGCCCCACACGTCCATGTGAAGCGTCTGCAGGGGAGCCTCCGTCAGAGGGAACTCGGAGGAGTGAGGAGCGGCACGCTGCCGCCCCTCAACGCAGGGAACGCAGGTAGGGGCAGGCCCCGGGGGAAGGGGAGGGAGAGACCGGGGAAGACCAGTGACAAGGACACGGGAGGCCATGCCTCGGAGACGAGGCAGGGAGGGGTGACCAAGGCGGTAGTGCCAGAGGAGAATCTGGTGAGACAAGAGGCGACACGAGCAGGGGGCAGACTTAGGACCAGACCGGGACGCTGCAGCAAACACCTGACGCGACACAGCTACCTGACCAGACTCAGCAACCGGAGGAGACACGGTAGTCAGGGTGTACAGGCTCGACCCAGGCTGTCAGGTGAACGTGGCCAGGTGCCGGCCCGTCCGAGTACACGAACAGTGGGTCACGCGCTGACCTCCAGGAGTGAACTGGTCAACCCACGCGTCCTGAAGGTCAGCTCCACTCACCAAGTTCGTGGAGAACGAGGGGAGGTGGAGGCCAGACAGAGAGCCAGACGGGACCGCCGGACACGGCAGAACCGTGCAGGAGTGTGCAAGGACTGGACCCCCAGAGGGGTCAGCCAAAGAGACTGCCACTGGCCGACTGAGCGGCGAGAGTGTGGTGCAGTCGCGAAAGAAGGAGCGGGAAGCACCCGAGTCAAGGGTGAAAGTGTGCAAGGCCGCAGCAGGCGTAGTACCAGAGAGAGCAGACTCACCAGCACCTGGAGGAGTGGACTCCCTAGCGCCTAGAGCAACAGCCTCACCAACACCTGGAGCAGGAGACGCACCAACACCTAGAGCAGCAGCCTCACCAGCACCTAGAGCAGCAGACTCTGTACCTGGGTCAGGCGGCACACACAGGTAACAGGCACCCTTAGCACTAGTAGGCAATGCATACATGGCAGTGAGGATAGCATCATAGTCAAGAGCAAAGATATCTACCCTCTGCCTAAGCAGCTCCACCCAGTCGGGGAGCTCAGCCGCGTCACCAAACTCTGTACGCCAGGCGTCGCTCAGACGGGAGAAGCAGCGGGACTCTGTGTGACCAATCGTCCCGCAAGGCTGACCAGCCCGAGCACCAGTGCGAATGACGTACGGGCAGCGAGCAGTGCTCCGTGACCCTCCACTCTGAGCATACCACTCACGAAGCTGCTGGGGCGAAAGGACCGCGCGCGGACGCTGCTGCAGCTGCACCTGGTCACTACCAGAAGCTCCCGAACGACCCGCTCCAGGGCGACTCCCACCACGGCCACCCCTTACAACCCCAACTAGCGTACCACTCACGAAGCTGCTGGGGCGTGAGGGACTCACGCGGACGTCGCTGGAGCTGCATCTGGCCACCGCCAGGAGCAGCAGTAGTAGTAGTAGCCGTGGCAGCTGCTGCAGGGCGGGGCTCCGAGGCAGCTGCTGCACGGGAGGGCGCCGCGACGAGCAGGGGCGACGCCCCGGGGGCGCCGCGACGAGCAGGGAAGGCGCCCCGGGGGCGCCGCGATGAGCAGGGAAGGCGCCCCGGGGGCGCCGCGACGAGCAGGGAAGGCGCCCCGGGGGCACCGCGACGAGCAGGGAAGGCGCCCAGAGGGCGCTGCGACGAACAGGAACGGCACCCAGGGGGGCGCCGCGACGAGCAGGGGCGACGCCCCGGGGGCGCCGCGACGAGCAGGGGCGACGCCCCGGGGGCGTCGCGACGAGCAGGGACGGCGCCCAGGGGGTGCCGCGACGAGCAGGGGCGACGCCCGGGGGTGTCGCGACGAGCAGGGACGGCGCCCAGGGGGCGTCGCGACGAGCAGAGGCGACGCCCCAGGGGCACCGCGACGAGCAGGAGGGGGACGCCGCGCGGGTCCCGCAGGGGCGTCGCGACGAGCACCGTTTAGGGCGGCGCGCGGGCTGCAGAGGCAGCTCCCACGGGCTGCGGAGGCAGGCACGGCTGCAGGGGCAGCGCCCACGGGCTGCAGAGGCAGCGCCCACGGGCTGCAGGGGCAGGCACGGCTGCAGAGGCAGCGCCCACGGGCTGCAGGGGCAGGCACGGCTGCAGAGGCAGCACCCACGGGCTGCAGGGGTAGGTACAGCTGCTCGGGAGGGCGGCGCGCGGGCTGCAGGGGCAGCTCCCACGGGCTGCAGAGGCAGGCACGGCTGCAGGGGCAGGCACAGCTGCAGGGGCAGGCACGGCTGCAGTGGCAGCACGGCCGCAGGGGCAGCACGCGGGCTGCAAGGGCAGCGCGGCCGCAGGGGCAGCTAAAAAAAAGAAATCAGTTAGGGCAAGGCGGAACGTTCGGTGGGCCCTAGGAACGATTCTGCTCTTATACCATGTGAGAATAAGAACGAGGAATGGTTGCATTGAGCAGCATGAGGAGTACAAGTAGGAAACCCTAAAGTGTAATACCCCATATGAACTACCCCACTACAGCCTACACAGACTATAGCATATAAGTTTGACAGAAAGTAATGCGTTGGTCGGTTCGGTCAGTATGCACACTTGTGTGCAGGTACAAGTTGTAGCTGGAACTCTGAAATCTCCCAAATTATGTGGATCGAAAAGGTTAGAACCTAGTGTTGTTAAACTACAAGGCCTAATCTAGTAGACTAGCAAGAAAATGCTAAGGAAGCGCATGGATCCCTATAGGCGTAGGCAAATGCATCCAACGACCCGAATATTGTTGCATATTCGGGTGGCTCATGTTCAAATACACCTTCCAGAGCAACTTCAGCTTGGTTCACGCGCACAGAAAAGTTCGGCACCCGCGATGACGGCCGTGCCTGCCGACAAATGCTAAGGAAGCGCATGGATCCCTATAGGCGTAGGGAAAATCATCCAACGACCCAAATATTGTTGCCTATTCGGGTGGCTCATGTTCAAATACACCTTCCATAGCAACTTCAGCTTGGTTCGCGCGCACAGAAAAGTTCGGCGCCCGCGATGACAGGCGTGCCTGCCGACAAATGCTAAGGAAGCGCATGGATCCCTATAGGCGTAGGGAAAAGCATCCAACGACCCGGTTATTGTTGCATATTCGATGGCCCATATTCAAATACACCTACCAGAGCAACTTCAGCTTGGTTCGCGCGCACAGAAAAGTTTAGCGCCCGCGATGACGGCCGTGCCTGCCCTCAAATGCTAAGGAAGGGAAGCGCATGGGTGATAAGAGTAGGGAGAAGGGTGATGAGAGAAGGGAGAAGGGAGATGAGAGTAGGGAGAAGGGTGATGAGAGTAGGGAGAAGGGTGATGAGAATAGGTAGAAGGGTGATGAGAGTAGGGAGAAGGATGATGAGAGTAGGGAGAAGGGTGATGAGAGTAGGGAGAAGAGAGATTAGAGTAGGGAGAAGGGTGATGAGAGTACGGAGAAGGGTGATGAGAGTAGAGAGAAGGGTGATGAAAGTAGGGAGAAGGGTGATGCGAGCAGGGAGAAGGGTGATGAGATTAGGGAGAAGGGTGATGAGAGTAGGGAGAAGGGTGATAAGAGTAGGGAGAAGGGTGATGAGAGTAGGGAGAAGGGAGATGAGAGTAGGGAGAAGGGTGATGAGAGTATGGAGAAGGGTGATGAGAGTAGAGAGAAGGGTGATGAGAGTAGGGAGAAGGGAGATTAGAGTAGAGAGAAGGGTGATGAGAGTAGGAAGAAGGGTTATGAGAGTAGGGAGAAGGGTGATGAGAGTAGGGAGAAGGGTGATGAGAGTAGGGAGAAGGGAGATGAGAGTATGGAGAAGGAATATGAGAGTAGGGAGAAAGGTGATAAGAGAAGGGAGAAGGGAGAAGGGTGATGAGAGTAGGGACAAGGGTGATGGGAGTAGGGATTTTGCCTCTAGCCTCAAAACGCGGAAGGATCCGCACATGTACAGGAAGAGCAGCGGGCGCTCATCATTCGCGAGCGCCGATGACCGATGATGCTCGCAACCCACCCACGCCCTTGCTGGCTTGGCAATAGGCCCAGACACGCGCAGCCAGGTGACCCGGTAGAAGAAAAACACTCCGAACGAGCGCTTCTAGTGCCAAAACGTGGAAGGATCCGCACATGTACAAAAAGTGCAGCGGGGGCTTTTCATTCGCGAGCGCTGATGACCAATGATGCTCGCAACCCTCCCACGCCCTTGTTGGTTTGGCAATAGGACCAGAGAAGCGCAGCCAGGTGACACGGTAGAAGAAAAACGCTCCGAAGGAGTGCTTCCAGCCCCAAAACGCGGAAGGATCCGCACATGTGCAGGAAGTGCAGCGGGCGCTTATCATTCGCAAAAGCTGATGACCGATGATGCTTGCAACCCTCCCACGCCCTTGCTGGCTTGGCAATAGGCTTAGACAAGCGCAGCCAGATGACCCAGAAGAAGAAAAACGCTCAGACGAGCGCTTCCAACCCCAAAACGCGGAAGGATCCGCACATCTGCAGGAAGTGCAATAGGCGCTCTTCATTCACGAGCGCTGATGACCGATGATGCTCGCAACCCTCCCATGCCCTTGCTGGCTTGGCAATAGGCCCAGACAAGCGCACCCATGTGACCCGGTAGAAGAAAAACGCAACAAACGAGCACTTCCAGCACCAAAACGCGGAAGGGTCCGTACATGTGCAGGAAGTGAAGCGGGCGCTCTTCATTCGCGAGTGCTGATGACCAATGATGCTCGCAACCCTCCCACGCCCTTGCTGGCTTGGCAATAGGCCTAGACAAGCGCAACCTGGTGACCCGGTAGAAGAAAAACGCTCCGAACGAGCACTTCCAGCCTCAAAACGCGGAAGGATCCGCACATGTGCAGAAAGTGTAGCGGGCGCTCATCATTCTCAAGCGCCGATGACCGATGATGCTTGCAACCCACCCACGCCCTTGCTGGCTTGGCAATAGGCCCAGACAAGTGCAGCCTGGTGACCCGGCGGAAGAAAAACGCTCAAAAGGAGCGCTTCCAACAACAAAACGCGGAAGGATCCGCACATGTGGAGGAAGTGCAGCGGGCGCTCTTCATTCGCGAGCGCTGATGACCGATGATGCTCGCAACCCTCCCACGCCCTTGCTGGCTTGGCAATAGGCCCAGATAAGTACAGCCAGGTGACCCGGTAGAAAATAAAACACTCCGAACGAGCGCTTCCAGCCCCAAAACGCAAAAGGATCCGCACACGTGCAGGAAGTGCAGCGGGCGCTCTTCATTCGCGAGCGTTGATGACCAATGATGCTCGCAACCCTCCCACGCCATTGCTGGCTTGGCAATAGGCCCAGACAAGCGCAGCCACGTGACCCAGCGGAAGAAAAACGCTCGGAACAAGCACTTCTAACCCCAAAACGCGGAAGGATCCGCAAATGTGCAGCGGGCGCGCATCATTCGCGAGCGTCGATGACCGATGATGCTTGCAACCCACCCAAGCCCTCGCTGGATTTGCAAAAGGCCCAGACAAGCGCAGCCTTGTGACCCAACGGAAGAATAACGCTCAGAACAACGCTTCTAGCCTGAAAACGCCGAAGGATCCGCACATGTGCAGGAAGTGCAGCGGGCGCTCATCATTCGCGAGCGCCGATGACCGATGATGGTTGCAACCTTCCCATGCCCTTTGCTGGCTTGGAAATTGGCCCAGACAAGCGCAGCCAGGTGACTCGGTAGAAGAAAATTGCTCCGAACGAGTGCTTCCAGCCCCAAAACGCGGAAGGATCCGCACATGTGCAGGAAGTGCAGTGGGCGTTCTTCATTCGCGAGCGCTGATGACCAATGATGCTCGCAACCCTCCTACGCCCTTGCTGGCTTGGCATTAGGCCCAGACAAGCGCAGCCAGGTGACCCGGTAGAAGAAAAACGCTCCGAACGAGAGCTTCCAGCCCCAAAACGCGGAAGGATCCGCACATGTGCAGGAAGTGCAGCGGGCGCTCTTCATTCGCGAGCGCTGATGACCAATGATGCTCGCAACCCCACCACGCCCTTGCTCGCTTGGCAATAGGCCCAGAGAAGCGCAGCCAGGTGACCCGGTAGAAGAAAAACGCTCCGAACGAGCGCTTCCAGCCCCAAAACGCGGAAGGATCCGCACATGTGCAGGAAGTGCAGCGGGCGCTCTTCATTCACGAGCGCTGATGACCAATGATGCTCGCAAACCCTCCCACGCCCTTGCTTGCTTGGCAATAGGACCAGAGAAGTGCAGCCAGGTGACCCGGTAGAAGAAAAACGCTCAGACGTGTCAACGGGAGTTGTTGTTGGCCCCGTCCTCGCTTGGCCGGAGCCGACTTGGTGGTTGGGTGTACGGGAGGTACAGCCGACTTGCAGCAGTGGGCGACGCCGACTTGGGCGAGCTGGTCGACGGGGTTGGTCGTCTTGCACAGGGCCATCGCAATGCCGCCAACTTGGGAAGTCGGTGGCCGACTTCAACTGGTGGTCGGCGATGTGGCACGTCGACCTGGAAGTCGGTGCCGACTTGCAAGGTCGCCGACTTGGGAGGTCGCCGACTTCAAGAGGTCGTCCCGGAAGTCGGCGCCGACGTAGAAGGGGCGTCAACTTGATGACGCCGACTTCACGTAGCCGACTTGGGTGGTCGGCTGACGACTGTGCTGGTCGACGTGGAGCTGGTCGACCAGGAGTGACGTCAACCTGGAGCTGGTCGACCAGGGGTGTGGTCGACCTGGTGAGGTCGACTGGAGGTGGCCGTCGACTTGGGAGGTCGACGGGCACATACAGGAGCACCTGGTCGACGTGGTTGCCCGGTTGACCAGGTTACCTGGGTGACGAGGTTCTGCGGAAGAGTGCGACGGTCGCCCAGGCGATGTTGGCGAGACTGACCTTGGTGGTGGTATCCCGAGGTCGACGTGGCGGATCAGGTGGAGTCGTTTGCACGAGGATGACTTGGTGTGTGCGTTGTGCAGGTGACGAGGCTCAGCACGCCAATCATCTGCAAGCACCTGCGAAGCTGGTGCGCTGCTGTTCTGCGGGAGCAACACGGGCACGCGGTCGACCTGCCGCGTTGGCACGCCGTCGACTTTGCACTGCTGGAACGCGGTCGACCATGCTGCGCTGGAAGTCGACCGACCTGAATGCTAGCTCTGATGTAGTCTTGTCTTACCAACCTAATTGCACCATTGTTGTCAACTTTCTCTAGTAAAACTCTTGTCAAATTGCCCCGTGACCTAGCAAGCAGTGTGTGCACTAGGACAACGACTAAGGACCATTGAACGCAGAGATCACACGAGCACCCGTGCCTAGCCCGTAGTCTAGCTCCCATTGTAGTAGTTATCTCCGCAAGACGAGCGCTTCCAACCCCAAAACGCGGAAGGATCCGCACATCTGCAGGAAGTGCAGCGGGCGCTCTTCATTCGCGAGCGCTGATGACCAATGATGTTCGCAACCCTTCCACGCCCTTGCTGGCTTGGCAATAGGCCTAGACACGCGCAGCCAGGTGACCCGGTAGAAGAAAAACGCTCCGAACGAGCGCTTCCAGTCCCAAAACGCGGAAGGATCCGCACATGTGTAGGAAGTGCAGCGGGCGCTCTTCATTCGCGAGCGCTGATGACCGATGATGCTCGCAACCCACCCACGCCCTCGCTGGCTTGGCAATTGGCCCAGACAAGCGCAGCCAGGTGACGCGGTAGAAGAAAAATTCTCCGAACGAGCGCTTCCAGTCCCAAAACGCGGAAGGATCCACGAATGTGCAGGAAGTGCAGCGGGCGCTCTGTGAGAATCATAAGCATAGTGAGGAGCCATAGCTATGGTTTAGCTAGCTAGGCAAGAGAGAAAAGAACAAAGGAGGGGTTTCACTAGCAGCAGTTGGGATACATATAGCAAACCCTAACAGGGTTGTACTCGCTATAGAGCACCCCACTACAGGCTAGATAATAACATTCTGACACACCCCCATAGCCAAAGTGGGGTGTAATCAGCAGAGCACGCAGTCATAGAGCAGGTTCACAAATGCAAGCAAAGCTAGAGGCTATCACAGAGGGCAAGTGAGGAGGAGGAGGAACTGTGGAAGGAGAGAAGATGGGAGGCAACGACTGAAGCTGCAGAGGCACGGGCACAGGAGCGGCTGACTCAGTGGCTACCGAAGCAAGGGCGACGGACTATTGGAGTGACTGGCTCCGCGGCTAAGACGAGCGGCAGGAGCAACGGACCCACTGGCGACTGGTGCAACAGGCTCACTGGCTACCGAAGCAAGGGCGACGGACTACAGGCGCTGCAGGCGACACGACAGCTACCTCCACACAACCTCCTCCAACTGACCCACACCCTTGACACACACCCCCTGCTGAACCCCTAACTCCACTCCCACGTCACCCCCCTAGCACCACTCCTTCGGCTCCCACACACCCAACCCCCTGAGCGGCAGCTGCAGCAGCGGGAGACGGAGGAGGAGGAGAAGTAGTGGAACGGCGCACAGAAACTGCACCCCCATACCCCCCACCCCCAAACCCTAATTCAGGAGAACGGGCAGCAGCAGGGGTGGGGCACCGTCAGAAGCACGGGGGACAGCGAGCAGCGCAGGGGCAGAGAGGAACGGGCCGCCCACGGGCCTGGCACAGCCCGACGAACCGCGCGCAGGCGGCCCGAGCCGCGCGCGGGCCTGGCGCAGCCCGTACGGGCCGCGCACGGGCCTGGCGCAGCCCGCGCTGGCCGGGACGGGCGACGGGGGACGACGGGTT